ACCCCCGCGCCGGGGGCACAGGATGGCCTAAGGAGATCTGGTCTCTTCCACTTGGAAGGCAGAATGGCTGTCTGTGGGTGGTCCTCACCCGAGTAAGGTGAGGCAGCTCTGCCTGTAGACTGAACAATTGCCTGACTAGCTATATTGGATAATGAGTTAATACAGTAAAAATCATAGTCCTAAGAAAACAATATAATCTCCTAGATGAGTCCAGGATTTGACTCATGCCTATAGAACCAGTGGGAATGTGATATGGCACCTTCTTGACCATAGCTACACCATGTTAAAGTTTAGGCTGACTCTAGTCTCTGAAATTATCAGGCAGTTGGCCCAGGGTATGGGAACACATGTCAGCTAGACCCCAGTTGTCTTGGAAACAGGTCAGAGTGTCCCAACAATGATGAACCAAGACACATATAGAAACTGACTTTAAGACTGAGCATGGTGGCACATGCCTGTAATCCCAGCACTTGGGAGGCATAGGGCAGGTGGATCTCTCTGAGTTCAAGGCCAGCCTGGTCTACATAGCGAGTTCCAGGGGCTAAAGGGGAACCCTAAAAAACCAAAAAAAAAAAAAAAAAACCAAACCAAACAAAAAAACCTACTAGAGTCAATTATGATGTAACCAATAATCAAAGAAAAGAAAAGCAGAAGCCAAGATCAAGGCCTGGTCCACATAGTGAGATCCAGACCAACTGGGGCTACAGGGAAACCCTGTCTTGAAAAAAAAGATAAACAACAACAAAACCAAACAGTAATACAAAGATCAAGGGGGAGGGGGTGTTAGGGTTCAGATCTACAGCAACCCCCTCCCCAGTGCAACAGGGCCTCATGGTTTTGCAAGCCCTCTGAAAATACAGAAACTGAGTTAATGAGCACCCTGACAAGATAAACAGACAAGATAAACAGACTCCCTACACCTATGACCCAAGACCCGATTGCTGCAAGGGCTGTTTCAGCACAACCTGCTTCCCCTTTGATAATCTTAGAAGACAAACAGGCTCCTGTACCCCAGACCCACTGATGTAGGAGCTGTCTCAGTACAAGCTACTTCCCCCTGACAAATTTCACAATGTATAGACCCTTTAGCCAATGACCCAGATCCTGGCTGATGGAAGGGGGCAGTTTGACAGAGGCGGTTCTCTCCTGATAAGCCCTAGGCTCTCTCTCTCTCCCCCACCTAACTTGTTTAAAATATTTCCCTACCTTCTGCATCCCCCAAACTCCATATAAAAGTCCCCAGCCAACAACCTGTAAACTGACAGCTCCTCTATCCCAAATTAGGGGATGGTCCTGTGCATTTTCTCTGCCAATAAACTCTATCCCGTTGGAGTTCTTGTCTGTGTCCTGGTGCTTTCCTCCAAATTTGACTCAATTTACTTATTATATGGTGCTGAAAGATAGCTGAGACTCAGGACCGCAATCATTTGGGAATCGCACATAAAGAACTCTGACCAGACCTGGCTGCCATTACCCACCCCTGTGAACACCACAGATTCAGCTTTGAGGTACACTCCAACTCTCTCTCTCTCTCTCTCTCTCTCTCTCTCTCTTTCTCTCTCTCTCTCTCTCTCTCTGCCTTTTTCCTTATGGCCACTGTGGTTCCTTCCCTGCCACTCTGGATCGTACTCTGCATTGCTTTCATTTCTCTCCTGCTCCTCTACATCTTCTTTTGATTTCCTTTTCAGTTGGATTTGGAGGTCACTCCTGGTTCTGACTCAAGGCCACTGGGCAGCACTGGTCTCCACGACTGTTGAGTGTCCTCTATGGTTACCGTGTCTGTTCAAGCCCAACTGTTGTCTTAGCATTTTTTGGTCTGAGAGCTAACTCTCCCAAAGGAGCACAAGCTCCTCCAAGCCTGCTAAAAGGGTTTTCTGGCTGCCTATTGTTACCAGGGGTCCCAGAGACCTTAGCAGCCTACTACCCATGCAGGGGGGAACAGGCCTCTTGTCTTGAGGTCATATTGGTGTCCTGTGTAGCCCTTTTGAGTTTTGTCTCCACAGTCAAGAGTCTCTCTGTTCTATCCCTATTCTCCAGGAAGAGGCCAACTCTACAAAGGCTTGACCCGAAAGGCTGGTCCTAACTAAGACTGGGTAACTGGGAAGGCAGATTCTGGAAGTCTCCACTCTCCTCCTTTCTCTCTCACAGCCTCTCATTAAGCCTCAGGCTCCCTCTCCCCGTCCTCCCCCTTTCCTTGCTCCTCACATCTCCTCTTCACTTTCACTTTCTCATACTCTGTGATTCAGAGCTTCTCTCGCTCTTCTCTGTCTCCCACCCTTCTTGGGCTCCTCTTCCCTCAGCTTTCACTGAATCTCAGAATCTCTCTCTTTTCTCATCTCTCCCATTCTCCTCCCTTCTGTCTCTTTTCCCATCACTCCTTGTACTTTGTGTCCCTCTACTGGCTGGTCATGCCACACTCTCATTGCAGGGCTTTCTGCTCACCTCACTTGCCTTGAAAATCACACCGGTGTGTCGGAAATTCCTTTCCTTTCTCTGGTTACGGGACACTGTTCCCAGGGATAAGAGCACGTACCCCTTCTGTCCAGGACAGGAACTCGCCCTTTCCCTCCCTGGGATCTGATTGCAGGACGGTGCCTCCAGGATTGGAAAAAACTCGTTCTCAGGCCTTTTCCTGGAAAAGGACGCTTTCCTTGGTGACTGGTTCTGCATATTCTCATTTTGGCATGGCCTATGCCATTCCTCCTCCTCCCTCCCTCCCTTCTCTTCCTAGTATCCTGTGCTTTCCTTCCAGGACTCTTGGCTGCCATCCCTGCCTCCACTCCCTGCGGAGAGCGGATCCTCATTGTCTCCTCCTACTTGCTTGCTCAGTTCCTTCTCTATCTCCTCTTCACTCTGTACATAATCTGTCACTATGGGAACCGCTCAGTCCAAGACTGAGGGTCTCACACCTCTTGCTGGTCTTCTTAAATCCTTAAAATAACTAGGACTTCCAGATACAATCAGGCCACAGCACTTAAAAGTTCCTGTGCACCACTGCTTGGTGCCAGTACAAGTTAGATAATGACTCTGTTTGGCCAGACACTGGAACCTTAAACTTCAATATTTTGAGAGATTTAGATAATTTCTGCCAATGTACCAGCAAAAGTACTGAGTTCCTTATGTCCATGCCTTTTTTGATCTCTGTGCTAATCCTTCCCTCTGTGTCTTATGTTCCTCCCATCAAGTTCTCCTCACCAACACTGTTTCATGGGACCCCAATCCGCTGGTTCCGACTCCCTTGGGGGCCTCCACTCCCCCTCCCTACTTCTCTACCTCAGCCTTTGATCCCAACACAGTTGATGAACTTCCTCCAAGTAGGACTCAACCTCAATCCCTCCCTGCCCCTAGTTATGCAATTTTGGGATTCTTTTAGATAGACCTACTGAAGGGGTACTCCAGTTGTTGGGAGCTGCTAATCATTGAGCTGCAGCAGCCTCGTTTACTGAGTTTGTGTCATGCAAACCAGTACTTAACCTGCCCATTCAGGAGGAAGGAGTTTTCTGGAGAGCCTCACCATACCTGACCTTGAGGCATTAGTGGTAAACAAAAGGATCCAAGAAGCCTTTGATCTGACCACTCCCTGACCCTCAGATACAGGTGGGGAAATACAGCAATTGTAACTGAGTTCTTCTGTATAAAAAGACAGAACTGAAATAAATCGAGTGCTGCAGTATTTACTGTGGGCCCTCCCAAGAAGCGTCTTTCCTGTCTTCTTTTATTTCTTTCAATCCTCATTCCCCCTTTCAGGTACTGTCCATTTTGGCCAGCTGGCACCAGCATCCAATTGCCTCACCCTGCGTCCCTGTTCAGCATGGAAGAAGCCAGAGTGGTCTGTGTCCCTGATTCCCTATCAGCAATTTGGGTAAAGCTCTTCAGAGGGTGGTGTGATAAGAATAGGAGATAAAAATTGGTTAGGCAGTTAGGGTAAAAAGACCCCAAAGACCCCTAGTTTCTTTCTTAGCTAAGGGAAAAATTGTCCTTGGGCCTTTTAGCAACATACTCTGTTTCAAAGGCCAAAAATGTTAAAAATATTTGGGAGCTCTTATCCTTAAAAGATTTTAGGGTTACCTCTTCAGAGGGGGGAATGTTAGAGTATCAATAAGGCCCATAAATTGAACTGGTCCAGACTATAAAAATGTCTAGTCTATCTGTTGGAGGACCCACTTTTCCAGTCTCACTAGTCAATTACCTGGTGATAGAACCACTCCCAGGAAGGCAGGTTCACCTTAAGTTATGTGGCTGAATGTGTGGGGCACATGCTGATCTCAACCCAGCATCTCTCCAAAAAGTAGGTGAGCCCTGGACCTACTTAAGGCAGAAAAAGGGGGGACTTGTATTTTCTTGGGTGAAGAATGCTGTTACTATGTCAACCAATTGGGTAAGGTGGAGCATACTATAAAACACCTTCAACAAGTGGCTAAGGATCTTTCACTTAAAACTTCCCAGTACCAGCAGTCACCTCAATGGGATATTTTTACAGGACTGACTCCCTGGCTTCTGCACTTACTCAGCAGAAGAGTCTCCCTGCCTCTTCAGATATTTTCAGGGCTGGATTCAACAACTGACTCATACTAATTTTAATCAGCGGTTACTTTCCTTCCCTCTACATGTATATGAACGCCTGTCAACCATTGAGGACCCTGTTCAGATGCACAAGGTGGAAACCCCTGCTGTCTGACTGATCCCTAATCTAGCCTCCCCCATGTCGACCATGTTCAGCAGGAAGCAGCAAGATGATGATGGCACCCCCTCCTATAACACAAAAGGCTGGAATGGTAGGGTTCAGATCTACAGCAAACCCCTCCCCAGTGCAACAGGGCCTCATGGTTTTGCAAGCCCTCTGAAAATACAGGAACTGACTCAATGAGCACTCTGCCCGTGTGCAAACAAGATAAACAGACACCCTACACCTATGACCCAAGATCTGATTGCTGCAAGAGCTGTTTCAGCACAGCCTGAGTTCTTGTCTATGTCCTGGTGCTTTCTCCCAATTTGACTCAATTTATCTATCAAGAGGTTCCTTCCCTTCTGGGGCTAAGGGCTCTCCCTGCCATAGCCTCTTCCTGCCTGTTTACTGAGCCCCTTGAAAATCCAGAGGGGGAAAAAGTCTTATGAGAGCTGTTCTTCACCATTCCTGAATGGTGCTCATGAGGTGGCCCAGCAGCCATGGGGCAGGGGCACCTTCCAGAACCTTCCACTCCAGCATTCCTTCCTATTCTGAATTGCCTCAAACAGCCTTTCCAGCTCACCTCCGCCTCCAGTTCCTTCATTCTGCCCATTCCCATCATCCTTGAGGTCAGCCAGAAGTTCCCAAAACTTCCGTGGTTGTGCTGACCTAAACCCTGGATGTCCTCAAGACTGGCTTGGCGGCAGCAGGAAGGTGAGTAGCTCAGTCTTCTCCTCCACTTCCCTCTCTTTACTTGAGTGGGTCAGTTAGAAAAGGCTGTTTACCTACCTTGCAGGGATGAGGCTTAGTGAGTAGGAAAGGAGGCAAAAACAGCACAAACCAAAAAACCTTCATTTGGGCCCACTGCCTAGTTTCGGTCCTTTTGTTTTCTATAGGCCAAATCCACACATTAGGTTTTTAGACTAGTGTGAGCTTCATTCCAGCTGATGTGCAGAGAGCGTAACACAGTTCCACCCCACTCCACCCCTTGTTTTCTTTTTCAGAACAGCCAGTCCCAGCACTGTTTCTACCCCCTCCCACTTGGGACCTACAAAACCTTCAGTTCAAAGACCCGCTCTGCATTCCTCACACTGCAGCACCCACATAAAGATTATCCCTACCACTGTACACCAGGGAGGCCACAAGGCTCAGATCCTCAGCAGTTAGGTGAGTGCTCAGCTATGGCGCCAACATTCTGCAAGTGCCAGCTCTTGATCAGCCTAACCCTTCCTATGCCTCTACTCTCAGCTCTTCCCCATACACACCCCATCTCAGAAGAGCAGTGTAGCCTCCTCTCAGCTGTTTTCAGAGTCCTTTTCATTCTAATGCAAGTTTCTGTACCCTCCCCCCAATTTCTCCAACAAGCTTAGTAGCTAAACTGGTTATATTTATTTGGAAGCCACAATGGAGCTTTGCTGAGCAAATGAGACCCCAGGTTTGGATGACCTGGGACATTTCTGTAGGTTAACAGGGAGCTTGGGAAGAGTAAATGGGACAGGGGCCCACTGGCTGGCAGCTGCAGGAGGAAAACAGTAAGACAGAGACCTGGTGTCCAAAGCTTTCTGAAGTGCATGCTGGAATCTTCCTGAGCTTCAAACACTCTACACTGGCTCTATCTCAGAGAATGCTTTAATGGTCTGGGCTGTGACTGGGCATGAGGGACAAGCAGAGTTCTGCAGGTGAGCAGAGCTGCAGCTAGAGTGGTGACCTTTCCTTGGAGTTAGTCCTGCTTCGAGCCCAGATCTACTTCCTGCCACCTGATCCTAAGCCTAAAGCCTAAAGCCTCAGCACATGGTGCTCTGAGCATTTTAGAAGTGAGCTGTACTCTGTCCTCAATGTAGCAACATGGAGCCGAATCTGGATGTCATACGGCTGCCACTAGTGTCTGTGAAAGGGGTCCCGCTTATCAAGTTCTTTTCAGAGGGTATTGGACAGCTGCAGAACTTTACAGCCTTGCCTGATGACCTACTTATCAGCACATACCCCAAGTCTGGTAAGTGAGCAGGGACTTCCTCTATTGGCGGTAGGCCCTATGCTGTCAGGCATGGCCCGGCTGAGCCCAGTTCTTGTTCTCTCCTTGCCAGGCTCTACCTGGATAAGTGAGATAGTAGACATGATCTACAAGGGTGGCAAGCTAGATAAGTGTTTTGGGACCCCCATCTATGACCGAGTGCCCTTCCTGGAGTTCAGATGCCCAGGCATTCCCTCAGGTATGTGCAAGGGGTTGTTGGAGACAAGAAAACGGATGGAGACAGGTCCACGACCCAAGTTCCCTGTTCAACTGTAGGTCTTGAGTCTTTGGAAGAAATACCAGGTTCATGGCTCATCAAGACACACTTGCCCCTGTCCCTGCTCCACAAGAGTGTGCTGGATCAGAAGGTCAAGGTGAAAAAGCAGCAGCAGCTGGCTGTGGTGGCACCCTCTGACACTGAGGGGACTGAAGGGTCAGGAGTTCAGGGCCAGCCTTTGCTACACAGAAATTTCAAGGACAGTCTGGGCCATATTTGACCCTGTCTCAAAAAACCAAAAACAGACCAAAAACAACAAAGAAGCTACAGCCCTCAGGAGGCAGAAGCAGACAGATCTCTATGAGATCGAGGCCAGCCTGGTCCACGTAGTGAGTTCCAAGTGAGCTGGAACTAGGGAGAACCTGTTTAATAAAAATTAAAAAAAAAGTAAAGGTGAAAGGCAGGGAGGGCTTCTGGGTCATCCTTGTTTGGGCCTGCTCTGCTGAGGTTTCCTTAAGCCATCTCATCTTAAGTATGGAGGTCCCCCACCTGTTACTCTGGAAGGGCTAAGATGACAAATGAGACTCTTCAATGCAAACCAGGGAGTAGAGTTCAGGTGCTTACAGACTCCAGCCAGCCGTGTTCACATACAGATGTGGTGACAATAAGGGGATCAAATAAAATATAGTTCAGGGAGCAGCCAGGACTTTGGCACTAGAGGGTGCAAATCCCAGCTCAGTGGTACCCAGACCATGAGGTCTCAATAAGTCAGCCTCCAAACCTATTTCCTCCTGACACCCCAAGAGAACCAGGGCTGGGTGGGGCGTGCCAAGTGATGATGCTGGGCTGGGGATTGTCTGCCCTCTGCAGGTGATCTATGTTGCCCGCAATCCAAAGGATGTGGCTGTCTCCTAGTATTATTTCTACAACATGGCTATGGTCCATCCTGATCCTGGCACCTGGGACAGCTTCCTGGAAAAGTTCATGGATGGGAAAGGTGGATCTGACTCTGCAAGAAGGAGGGGGCTGGAGCTGAGGGGCACAGCTAGAGCTGTCATTAAGGCCTGTGTTGGTGCCCTTCCCCTTCCCCTTCCCCAGTGTCCTATGGGTCCTGGTACTAGCACGTCAAGGAGTGGTGGGAGCTGAGCCACAGTCACCCTGTTCTCTACCTTTTTTATGAGGACATGAAGGAGGCGAGACAGCCTGTTACCACTTTTCTGTGTCAGGCCTCATCCAGACCCTTCCAGCCTATCCTGTCACAGCCCCACTCCAGATCTGCACTCCCCATCCTGGCTCAGGACCACAGCACAGCTCAGCAGAGGACTCTGCACGGCCCTTATCTCAGTGTGTGCATCAGCCATTATTGATCCAGTAATTTGCTGTTCTTGCTTCTTCCTGCCCCAAAAGCACGAAGCCGGACATCAGAGGTGAAAGCTTGTCCTCCCTTTCCCAGAAGGCACCCACAGGGCTTGTGCCAAGATGGTAGGCAGGACACTATCTGTTTTGCCCCAGGGTGAGACCCAGAGTCAAGGCACCAGGTCTGAGAGTTCCTTAGTGGAAGTGGCGGACACACTATCTTCTCCCAGTAAGCATCCAAACCTCCACTGAAGATTTCTCTGTGCTCCAGAATCCCAAAAGGGAGATTAGGAAGATTCTGGAGTTTTTGGGACACTCCCTGCCAGAGGAGACAGTGGATTTCATCGTCCAGCACACATCTTTCAAGGAGATGAAGGAGAACCCCATGACTAACTATACCACCATACCCTCTTTTGTCATGGACCATAATGTTTCCCCCTTCATGAGGAAAGGTGGGTCATAGCCTGAATAGGCATTTGGGTTATTTGGGGAAGGGAAGGAAGTTGGATATAGCCACCAAAATCTGCCCAGGGCCACCTTGTGGCTAGACTCCATAGCCTCTCTCTGCCCTTATCTAGGCATTACTGGGGACTGGAAAACTATCTTCACTGTGGCCCAGAATAAGTGCTTTGATGCACACTATGCTGAGAAGATGGCAGGCTGTGACCTCAGCTTCCATTTTGAGCTGTAAGCTGATGTGGCTGCATTGGGAATCAAGGGGAGTTGATACATCAACCCACCATGACCGCAAGAATAAAGTGTGATGTTTTAAACCCACAGACTTTTGTATGCCTAGAAGGAAGTTGAGCTAAAATAGCAAATAAGGGCTAGGGACATAGCTGAGGGTAGGGGGCTTTCTCAGTATGTCTCAAGAATGCAGGTGATCCCCGGCACTGAACAAACACACAAACAAAAGGACATCCACATATGTAAGAACAAGAGATAAATGTATTTTACCTGGAAGACTAAATACAACTGGAAGCCAACCAGGCCCTGCCTCTACTAAGGCCTCTGATCCCCACATGCCTGATGGAGGGCAGGTGGGTCTGAAACAGTAAGGCCTAGGAGATGAGCCGAGAGGGAAAAACATTTATTTGATCATAGGAATTCCTTCGCTGCCTTCTCCCATGAGGACAGCAGTAGCAGACTCAAGCCTGCCAGCCAGCTTCACTTTTTCTTGGGCTCCTTACAAGCCACCACGTACCTCTGGGCCACATTGAGGGGAGGGGAGTAGCCATCTGCATAGGAGGTGTCTTCAAACAGGACTGAATAGTCATCTTGGGGCTGTAGAATGCACATGGGAGGAGTGGTCAGAGGGTCCTAGGCCAGGGTAGCCCTGAGTCCTAGACAGGCCTCCCTGTCTCTCCTGCCCTGGGGAAGAGGGCACTCTGGGGTCAGGGGTCAGATGCCACTAGGGAAGCCTGTGTTTAGGAGATGAAGGACAAGCAAGGGAGCAGAGGGCAGGTATCCTGAAGAAAGATGGAGACAAAAGGTCCTGGGGTCCTGAAAGGCCTTTCCATGGTGGCTCCTTACCCGCTGTGGGGGTGTGTGGATCAGGGCACGGTAGAAGCAGGTGGTTTGTGGATACAGGGCTAGTACCAGCTGTTCCTTCTGGAACAAGGCCTCGGGGTCTGTCTCAGGGTTTGCCTTCCACTGGGGCAGTGGGATAATGCGACGCCGGCTCAGGGTATGTCTCCTGGGGGAAAGGAATACAGGCCATGATCAGGGAAGGCTCCTTGGAGAAGCCTGGTCACTGCCCCATTCCCCACTCCCCACCTGGACACTCACTCTTTGCCTTCTTCATCAATGTCATCTACCTCATACCTGTGAGTGAACAAAAGGAAAAACACTGTACAGGAGTGAGGACAAGAGGAGAGATGGGAAGTGGCTGGAGTAGCTTGGTGCCCCCAGCACCACCCAGCACCCATGCTGTGGAAGCTGATGTGGTGAGGATGCATGGCCAAGATATACACTCACTTGTTGGTGGCATGGCTGTAGCTGACTACTTCGGCCAAGATCCACTGCTCATCCCCATCCACAGCCTTTACTCGGGCAGCCACCTTGTCTCCAGGTTTGGCCACATAGTCCCCTGAGGCTGGAATGGCTCCACAGAGAGGTGGGGGCCTGTGAGAGGAAGGCCTGTTAGTCCGGCTCCTTGACAGCAGCCCTCCCTGACTGGTTCGTGCCCTCACTTGTCACCAGGCTTCCCGATCCAAAGGGGCAGGGTCATGGCTGACTGCTGCAGCAGCGTCATCAGCACCCCCCTGCGCATGGTCTTCCGTGGGGGCTCCGAGTCATTGTAGAGGCCTGCGATCTTGGCCGCTGTGGGAAGCAAGTGAAACCCTGAGGCCCTGTGGATGGTGCCATACCCAGCCCATATCCAGCTCCTGCTCTGAGCTGGCACTTAGCAGACAACCTCCCTTCCTACTTCACACCAGGGACCCAAACCCATCCAAGCCCCTTCTAATTGATGTCTAAGGGGACTGGCCAAGCTCTTAGGATGGAGGGTACCCTCATGGGGAGCAGCTAAAGAGGAGCAAAAGAGGCTCCAGGGTACAGGTCACATTCTGTTTCCTGATGGGATGCTGGACAGGTGTGCTACTCAGTGAAAATGCCCTGGAACAGGATACTTATGTGTACCTCCTTTCTACTAATATATACAATTCTAGTAAAAGTTAAACAAATTATCCAGTGTGGATCCTTGGCCTCCTCGGCCATGGCTCATCATAGTCCTTTTCTTTTCTTTTTTTTTTTTTTTTGGTCATTTTGAGACAGGGTCTCCCTGTAGCCCAGCTGGCCTGGTACTTGCTATGTAGACCAAGCTAGCCTAGAACTCACAGAGGTCCGCCTGCCTCTGCCTCCCAATGCATGGGTCACTAAGGGGTGAGAAGCTGCCTCCCGGGCAAGAGAGGTAAGGAAACCAAGACAATGGTGCCTGAGTATCTGGAAGGCAGGGTGCTGAGCCAGCTCCAGGTGTATGGCTGGCATATGGATATGAAGAGCAGCGCTGTGAGCACCACAGCACTGTGGCAGAACACAGAAAGTCAACCAGCTCTGGGTAGTGCGAGGAGTGAGCAGAATTACCTGGGTCTAGGCAGAGAAGCAGGTAAAACCTGCCTGAGTTTGTGAGACAACCCTATGGAGTAACCTCACCAAGCTGTGCACCAAGCTCCCCTGCCAGGGGCCATGGCAGCTGCCCCTGAAACCCCCACCCTGCCTGGTCAAGAAATGCCCTGCATTCCCTCCCACTCACCAATCCGCCTCTCTTCCAACAGAGACTTGATCTCAGCAATCTTATCCAGGGCCTTGCGGAGGATGCTAGGGATGGGAGAAAAGAACTTGGTAAGGCCCTCAGCATAGGCTTCCTGGCATGGTTTCCTCAAACCAGGTCTGTGTGGCAAGATCCTGGGGGCTAGAGAGATGGCTCAGCAGTTAAGAGCACTGGCTGTTCTTGCAGAAGACCTGAGTTTGAATCCTAGAACCCACATGGTAACTAACAGCCATTTGTAACTCCAGTTCCAGGGGATCCAATGCCCTCTTCTGACCTCCATAGGCATTGCACAACACGGATGCACTTGCACTTATTTATCTGCAGGCAATATACTCATACACGTAAAACAAAATAGAAATAAGTCAGGCATGGTGGTACAGCCTTTAATCCCAGTATTCGGGAGGCAGAGACAGGTGGATCTCTGGGAGTTCAAGGCCAGCCTGGTCTATATAACGAGTTCCAGGTCAGCTGGGGATACAGGGAGACTATCTCAAAAGACCAAAAATAAATAAAATGGGTGTGTTGGCTCATGTAATCCCAGCACTTGGAAGGTTTGGTAGAACTGCTATGACTTCAAGGCCATTTTCGGCTACACAATGAGTTCCAGGTCAGCCTGCCCTAGTCTTGCCTCAAACAAACAAACAAAAAGGAGGGGCTGGGGAGATGACTCCATCAGTAAAGGGCCTGTTGTGTAAGCATGAGGATCTGAGTTTGGATTCCTGGCACTCATGTATAAGCCAGCAATGGTGGTGAGTGCTGTAACCCCAGCACTAGGAAGGGCAGAGACAGGTGGATCCCTGAGCTCAATGGCCAACCAGCCTAGCCAAATTTAGGAGCTCTAAGTTCAGTGAGAGACCCTATCTCAAAGACAAAGGTGGAGAATGACCAAGGAAGACCTCTGACTTCTGCATGCACACTTGCCCATGTGCATGCACATTCACGTGTGTTTACACACATGAATACATGTATACACTACACAAACATATACATACACCATGCCTTTAATCCCAGCATTTGGGAGGCAGAGGCAGGCCACTCTCTGTGAATTCAAGACCAGCCTGGTCTACATAGTGAGTTCCAGGCCAGCTGGGGCTACAGGGAGACCCTGTCTCAAAACAAAAACAAACACAAATAAAAACAAAAACAAAAAACAAACAAAAAGCATGTAGAATGGCACCAGTAGCACAGCAGTGCCATGCAGTGGTTGCTGTTAGAGTTACTGGGCCGCAATAGACAATGCAGTACCAACTGCAGGGGAGGGTCAGAACAGTGTGTAGAACATCTGCCACTTTCTCCACATTATCCCATTCATAGTCTGGTACAGAGGCAACTGAGTTTCATCTGAACTGATTGCCAGGTCATGTCACTACAAAATGGTATGCTGGGACCTGCCTTGCTACCATCTGTAAAGCAGCGAGCTAAAAGGGAAGCCTGGGCAAAGGAGGAAGATCTTGGGAAGGTGCAAGCTGTGGGGAAGCTGGGCAGCAGGACCCTTCGTAGAGGGAAGGCAGGTTGGGACAGTGGTCTGCAGGTACCTGAAGTCCAGCATTTCAGCCAGGGAAAGCAGACCAGCAGTCCCGTGGACAGTACTCACTTGCACTCAGCCTCCGCATCAGCCTTGGCGGTTGTATAGAGGCCACGCAGCTTTGTCCGGAAATAAGGAGAAACTGCAAATACAGGGATAAGGAGGCTTGAACAAGGGAAGGTGACAGCATGTGGCTGAGATTTTAGGGCACCATAATCAGCCTGAAGAGGCTAGGAGGCCAGGGCCTGGAGCGTGGGCTTTGAGTTCAGAAGTGCTCCTAGAGGGCTGGGGAGACGGCTCAGCAGGTGAAGTGCTTGCCCTGCAAGCACGGGAAACCAATTCAACCCCTAAAACTCAAGTGAAATATAAGCAAGGCCAGTGATTGGGAAGCCTGGCCAGCCAATCTTGCCTATTTGGAAGGTTCTGGAAGATCTCCCTGTAGCCACAGCTGGCCTGGAGTCGCTAATGGAGACAGACTGGCCTCGAACTCACAGAGATCCACCTGCCTCTGCCTCCCGAGTACTGGGATTAAAGGCGAGCACCACCATGCCTGGCTCTGGAAAAAAATTTAAAAAGAAAACCATATATGGTGCCCCAGGAACACTTGAGGTTGTCCTCTGCCCTCTACATATATATGTGCACACCCCTCGCCCATTCAAGATGCCTCCCTGTTCAACAGGATCACATTTCCATATGGTACAGATGCTACACCATACTAGAAAAGCACTTTCTAACCTTTCCAACAGGGGCAGAAAACCAAGCAGAAGCACACAACTTCCAAAGCTACTACTCAGAGTTAGAAAGTACCAAAAAAGCTGGGCATGGTGGCACACGCCTTTAGTCCCAGCAGAGGTGGGTGGATCTCTGTGAGTTCAAGGCTAGCCTGGTCTACATATCGAGTTTCAAGGAGACCCTGGGGCTACAAGGAGACCCTGTCTCAAAAAGACCAAAACCAAGAAAGTATTAGAAAAGGCGGGTGACCAAAGGCCCTGCAGCACAGGTTGAAGCAACCTGGGATGGAAACTCTACACCAGAAAACCCCAGGTGACTGGGGCCTAAAAACTGTAAGGGTAAGTTTCCCTGCATACAGGACTGCCTTTCAGTCCTGAGTGGAGGGATTCTGACCTCTTTTAGTGCAGTAGGTCACCATTCCCAGTGACTTTAGGTCATTCAGCCTAAAGGAGCAATGTCTCTAAGCAACAATTTAGAATATGTGCAGGTATGTGCAGAAATTCCCTTTGAAAACAGTAAGGGCCCTGCCCCCAGGCACATACCCCTTTCCCAGGCTCTCACCCCCTTCCCGTCTTCTTTCTATACTGCCCACAGTTACTCACTCTTGTTCTCTGTCTGCATTCGCTCGTGCGTCTTCTGGATATTCACTAAGTTGTGCTCACTCCTCGAACGCTCTTCCTATAAAGATGAGGTCAACAGGATAGGAGGCAGACCTTCACCTTACTATGGCACCCAGAGGCCCTGACCCATATGCTCAAATTTAGGACATGTTCAAGACAAATATTTTTCCAGACTACTGCAAAATCTCTACAAAGTTATTAAAACTAAGCCATATGTAGCAGGGCATGGTGGCACCAGGAATGGTGGTGCACACCTTTAGTCCCAGCACTCATCACAGAGGCTGGAGATCTCTGTGAGTTCAAGGCCAGCGTGGTCTACATAGGGAGTTCCAGGCCAGCTGGGGCTACAGGGAGAAAAAGACCAAATAAATAATAATAATAATGCTCTTCAGAATCCCCATCTAAATCCTAGCTACCTTCTCAGAAATTGACAAGTTCATTAGAAAGTGACAAGTTCATCTTAAAATTCACTTGGGAATTCAAGGGACCTACACTAGTCTAATCTTGAAAAAAAAAATTAAAAGATCAGGTTTACCTTTCCCAACACTTGTTACAAAGCTACAGTAATCAAGACTGGTGGTACAGGCCGATGAATCAACAGACTGTAAGGTAACATGTACATCAGTGACCAACACACCCAGGGATGCTCATGCAACTCTGCCTGCATAGTGGTGCTGGAATCTGGGCTGTAACTGTGAGTGCTGGACGTATGATAACCCCTCTGTGAGAAAGTCAGTCTATATCTTCTCACATTTCTGGGAGATTTTTAATTTGTAAAGATTTAATTTTACTTTATGTGTATGAGTGTATGTCTAGATGTGTGTATGTGTACCCTCTCTCCAGCCCCTGAGAATTTTTTTTTTTTTGGTCTTTTTGAGACAGGGTCTCCCTGTAGCCCCAGCTGGCCTGGAACTCACTATGTAGACCAGGCTGGCCTTGAATTCACAGAGATCCATCTGCCACTACCTCCAGTGCTGGAATTAAAGATATGCCCCACCACACCCAGCTTTTTAAAATTTTCTTTTTTTCTGAGAATTTTTTAAAGATGCTGAGGGGTTGGTTGTACCAGTAGTCCATCTGGCACAGTGGGAAAATAGTGCATATGGCTGCAGGGCCTTGTAGGAGAGGGCCCACTGTTCTCTGCTGCACCACCTGGCCCTGTATGAATGGAAATGAACCAGAGGGACTTGCTAGACTGGAACTGCTATCTATTAGCTATCTTATTTTTCCCAGAGGTGGAAAAATTTGGGTAAAATTCACTGACAAAAGGAGAGGAGGGCCAGAGAGCTGGCTCAGTGGTTAAGAGGATGGTTGCTCTTGCAGAGGACCCAGCTTCAGCTCCCAGCACCCACATGGTGGCTAACAATTGTCCATGACTCCAGTTCCAGGGGATCCGATACCCTCTTCTGACCTTCACGGGCACCAGGCACACATGAAGGGCCCATACATATAAGCAGGCAAAACACTCATACAGATAAAATAAAAACAAATAACTTAAAAAAAAAAGACAAAGATAAACTTTAGTCAAGATAAAATGGAAAAGTGGGTCACATGAGGAAGTTCAATATTATACTAAGACTTGAAAGGACTCACAGCAAGAGCACAGCAGTGCCCTTAGCTCAGTTACACCAGACACGTGGAGACCTGCCAAGACCACTCCTGCTTTGGAAAGCTGACATGGTCACAAAGAAGCTTAATGATGTGAATGGCCTTCTTTGAGAGACATGCTTAGTGTAGAGCTATACCACTCTGAATGTGACAGATCTGGCCTGATCTTGGAAGCTAAGCAGGGTTGGGCCTGGATGGAAGAGACATTCCTGTCATATGGGATGACAGACTGAGGCTGTTGATGCGGATGGAACTCTAATGGGGTTCCAGAATCTTATCTGGCCTTTAATGAACTAGATTTGGTTTTTAGTTTACAGAAAAACTGAGTAGCCGGACGTAGTGGTACACACTTTTTTTTTTTTTTTAACTTTTACAAAACCTTTATTGAGAATTTCATACATGCATATAAGATGTTTTGATCAAGTCCATGCCCACTCCCTCTCCTCCAACATTCCCCCCTTTGAAGAGGTAACCCTAAAATACTGTGGTGCACACTTTTAATCCCAGCACTCTGGAGGCAGAGGCAGGTGGCTCTCTGTGAGTTTCAGGCCAGCTAGTGCTACATAGTGAGACCCTGTCTCAAAAAACAAACCAACCAAACCAAATCAAAATAAAAAAACAAACAAAATAAAACAAAAAACAAACAAAAAAAACTAAAACTGAGTAGGGGCACAGGTCCCACACATCTGCTGCAACGCTGCTCTGTGCAGTCTCCCCCATTATTTACATCTTACATTGGTATGGTATGCTTGTTACAAACAGTGAACCAATACTGATACTAACTAAAGCCTCTTGTTTATGTTAAGGTTCTCTGTGTTGTACAGTCCTCTGGGTTTTGAAAGATGCTCCAATCATGTACCTCCATTACAGTATCACACAGAAGAGTTCCACCTCTCTAAAGATCCACTACGCTCTACTCTCATCCCATTCTATCCATTAGTCCCAAGGCTCTGGCAAGAACTTGTAGTTTTACTTTCTCTAGTTTTGCACATCTCAGTACAGCACATCACACTGGCAGTGTTGGTAAGATTCAACTACCTTATGTAAACAAGGCATATGATACCGGTACTGATAATAAAATATAAACCTCCTTAGTATAAAATGCTGATGGAAAATGATTGGCTCAAGGAAACCAGATTAGCTAAACATCAGTTATTTTCGGTGCTAAAATGTTCTATACAAATTTTCATAAGGTATAAATAGTGGCAGGTTGGGGGGACAAATAGTCAAATTAGAACAAAAATATGAAAATGTAGTATCTCATAGGCCGGGTGTGGTGGTGCACATTTTGATCCCAGCACTCCAGAGGCAGAGGCAGGTAGATTTCTGTTAATTGAAGGCCAGTCTGGTCTATACAGTGAGTTCCAGGTCAGCCAGAGCGACACAGTGAAACCTGTCTCAAAAGAAAAGAAGAAAGGGGGCTGGAGAGATGGCTCAGCAGTTAAGAACACTGGTTGTTCTTGCAGAAGACCCGGGTTCAAATCCCAGCACCCACATGGCAGCTAACAACTGTCCTAACTCCAGTTCCAGTGGATCTGACAGCCTCTTCTATCCTCCACCAGCATTGCACGACATGGGTGTACTTACCTACACAAAGGCAATACATGCATATACATAAAATAAAAATAGTAAAATATTTAAAAAAAGAAGAAAATGAAGGAAGGGAGAAAGGGAGGGAGGCAGGGAGGGAAAGAGGGAAGGAGGGAGGGGAAAGGAAAGGAAAAAGAAAGGGTTGCTGTGTTTGACCTAAGCCATGGGCTAGGGTGGTAATCTATGTAACACAAGGTTAACTCAGCAGGCCGGGGTGATTTAAACCTTACTCATTTTATACAGGTTTGGCTTTTCACCAGACCCTGGGAGTGAACTCTAAATCCTTGGAATATCTTGCCTGGTAAGAGTATGCTTGTTTACTTAGAATGAGGGGATGAGGAGAAAAAGGGGGTGATAGCTAATGGGTATGGAACATTTTTGTTTTGATGATAAAAATGTTCTGGCAGGTGGATCTCTGTGAGTTCAAGACCAGCCTGGTATACATAGTGAGTTCTAGGCCAGCTGGGGCTATGAGACCCTGTCTCAAAAAGACCAAAAAAAAAAAAAGAAAACTGTATATTCTAAACAGGTGCCTTGTATAGTGTGTAAACTGTCTTTCAATATAGCTGTTACAAAGAGCCCTGAAATCTTGTACCTAATGGAAAACCCAAGAGGAATGGTAGTTATACTCAAAACTCCCTTCTTCTCCCTTTCATTACATTATCTTAGTTCCTGCATGTTCAGTCTCTCTTGACACAACCCTTACCCCAGACACACAGCTCAGTACCATAGCCCATGTTCCTCTCTTTCTACCTGGGTTTGCTTGATCAATTGATGGAGCTCTGTGAGAAGTTCTGCAATGCGGGAATCAGCAGAGACGAGGGCCATGGTATGGACCTGTTGAGGGCATCTGGTGAGAGAATAGAAGAGAAATCTGTCACTGGCTGTGTCGCTGAACTATATCTCTGGCATGTTGAAGTCCTAAACCTTGGTGCTGGTAAATGGGACCTTGTTTGGAAATAAGGTCTTTGCAAATATAAGAGGACAGCATCTTAATCTGGTACCACTAGTGTCTTAAGAGAAGACAGAGACAAGCACATACCAAGGGAAGACAATCACATGTCACATGACTAGGCAACTGTGTAAGCCAGGTGTGGTGGCGCATGCCTTCAATCCCAGCACTTGGGAGGCAGAGGCAGGTGGATTTCTGAGTTCAAAGCCAGCCTGGTCTACATAGTGGGTTCCAGGCCAGATAGGGCTACAGAGAGACTCTGTTTCAAAAAGACCAAAATAAGTATATGATTCATAAATGCAATACTACTCAACAATAAAAAGAAATCAAGTACTATGGGGCATGATGTTGCATCCCGCACTTAGGAGGTGGAGGTAGAAGCATTTGAGTTCTAGATCAGCATGGGCTACACAGTGAGACCATGTCAGGTGTGTAAGCCCAGGCCTCAATCCCAGCACTTGGAAAGCAGAGGCAGGCAGAACTCTGTGAGACTGAGGCCAGCCTGGTCTAAATAGCAAGTTCCACTAGGGCTGTAATATTGAGAGAGCCTGTTTTAAAAACAAAACAAAAACAAACAAAAATAAAATAAAAAAGAAAGAAATGAAGGTGAATATGGTGGCTCATGTTCATAATCCCAACACGTTGGAAGATGGAGGCAGGAGGATTGGAGTTCAATGTCATCCTCAGCTACATAGTAGTTACAAAGAGACCATCTTTTTTTTTTTTTTAATTTATGTGTATGCGTGTATTGCCTGCATGTAGGTAAATGCACCTGTGTCGTGTAATGCCCATGGAGGTCTGAAGAGGCTGTTGGATCCCCGGGACTGGAGTTACGGACAGTTGTTAGCTGCCTTATGGGTGCTGGGATTCGAACCCAGGTCTTCTGCAAGAACAACCAGTGTTCTTTACTGCTGAGCCATCTCTCCAGCCACAAAGAGACCATCTTAAAAACATAAAAATACTGACCTGTTTTGACATGGGTGAATCTTGAAAACCTTATATTAAGTGAAAGTCAGTCACAACAGATTTATTTTATTTTGTATTTTTTACTTATTTTGCTTTTTTGAGACAGGGTCTCTCTGCTGCCCCAGCTGGCCTGGAACTTGCTATGTAGACAAGACTGCCCTGTATTATTTTATTATTTTTAATGATTTATTTATTTTTATTTTTATGTGTATAAGTGTATTGCCTGCATGTATGTAAGTATACCTGTGTTGTGCAATGCCCACAGAGGATAAAAGAGGGTCTTGGATTCCCTGGAACTGGAGTTATGAACAGTTGTTAGCCATCATGTGGATGCTGGGATTCAAACCCGGGTCTTCTCCAAGAGTAGCCAGTGCTCTTAACTATTGAGCTATCTCTCCAGCCCCACCAAAAAAAAATTTTTTTTTAAAAGAAAGAAATATCCAGAATAGGCAAATCCATAAAAACTGATGAGGGAAGAAATGGATGAAAACAGATAGGAATGCTAACAGGTACAGGGCTTTTTTACCAGGTAATGGAATTATATCAAGAGTTGCACAACTAGGGCTGGAGAGATGGCTCCGTTGTTAAGAGTACTGACTGCTCTTGCAGAGGACCAAGTTCAATTCTCAGTACCTACATGGTAGCTAACAACTGTCCTAACTCCAGTCCCAGGGGATCTGACACCCTCTTCTGGCCTCTGTGGGCATTGTACAACATGAGTGCACTTATATGCAGGCAAAACATTCATATGCATAAAATAAATTTAAAAAATTAAAAAAAAATCTTAAACAGTTGCACAACTCTGAATAAAATAAACAGCACTGAACTACATATCTAGGTGCAGAGTCCCAACTAGCTTGGCCCTGGGCAAACACTCATCTACTTTCTGTTCATTGTTTTGTTTTTAGGTTTTGCCTAAATCTATTTTTTACTTCATTTCTTTGTATTGCTGAACACTCTTTTTATATATAATGTTCTATATATTACTTCAACTAATGGACAATTGGTTTATGGCTACGTTGTGGCTACATAATGCACCCATGAAAAGCACAAAATTTTTTAGGTATTTTATTTTTAAAATTATGTATATGAGCGGGGTGAGTAGTATGTGTTCATGAGTTGAGGTACCTGAGGAGGTCAGAGTTGTTGGACCCCCTAGCACTGGAGTTACAGGCAGTTGGTTAGCCACCCGATGTGGGTGCTGGGCATTGAACTCTGGTCTCTGGAAGAGCAGGAAGTGCCATTAATCTGAGTTATCTCCCTCCCCAAATTCTAAAAAGATTTTATATGTATATATATATGTGTGTGTGTGTGTGTGTGTGTGTGTGTGTGTGTGTGTGAGCCTGTGCATGCATGCTGCCTGTACGAGGGAGCCTGTGGAGACCAGAAGAGGGTGTCAGATTCCCTGGAGTTGGAGTTACATGCTATTGTGAGCCACCTGATATGGGTGCTGGGGGGCCTGAACTTGGGTCCTCTGGAAGAGCAGTACATGCTCTTAACCATTGTGTCATCTCTCTCTAATCCCTATTTTTTTAATTTATATTTACTTATTTTTTGGTCTTTTTGAGACAGGGTCTCCCTGTAACCCAGATGGTCTGGAACTCACTACATAGACCAGGCTGGCCTGGAACTCACAGAGATCCACCTGCCTCTGCCTCTGGAGTGTGCTAGGATTAAAGACAGTGGGCCTGGCTCAGTCCTTATTTTTTTAAAGACAGTCTTTCTATTGATATGGTAACGACAGGATTAAATGTTAGGGTTAAACTAGACTGGGTGGCACACGACTTTAGTCCTGGAGGTAGAGGCAGAGGTAGAAACAGGAGGATCCCTGTGCATTCAAGGCTAGCCTGATCTACATAGCAAGTTTTAGGCCAGCTGGGGCTACAGGGAGATCCTGTTTTAAAATAAAAAAATTAAAAAAAAAATCAATCTGTGTGGTGTGGTGGCACACACCTTTAATCCCAGCACTCAGCAGAGGCAGGTGGATCTCTGTGAGTTCGAGGTGACCAGCCTGGTCTACATAGTAAGTTCCAGGCTGGCTGGGGCTACAGGGAGACCCTATGTCAAAAATAAAGGACCAAAATAAATAAATAAATAAATAAATAAATAAATAAGGTTAAAAAGAATGTTAGAGCAGGGGCTAGAGGTGGCTCAGCAGTTTAGAGCATTTGCTGCTCTTGCAGAAGACCCAGGTTTGGTTCTCAGTACCCACATGATGGCTAGTAACTGTCTATAACTCAGTTCCAGGGGACCTAATGCCCTCTTCTGGCCTTCATGGGCACTGTACCCACATGGTGCACTTCCATACATATAGACAAACACACTCACAAAATAAAAATAAAATAAAATACTAACCCACTGTGATGCTCCTACCTTGGTGCAGTCCATTCCAATCTCTCATTGGAGAACTCTGTCTAGCTTTACTATCTAAACTGTTGTTTTACTAACCATTACTTAAACTGTGTCTTTTTACTGAGTTCATCTCAAGGGGTTAAGCACAGAGTCCCAGCAAAGACCAGACAATAAGGCAAGGATGGCCTTAAACTTGCAATTCCTCTGCCAGTCTCCCAAGTGCTGGGATTATAGATAAACACCACTACACTCAGTCTGTCTGGTTCTAAGTCAAGGTCAGACTATGTTTCCAGGACTGACTAGATCTTTTGGACTGAAGTAATCCACCTACCTCAGCCACTTAAGGAGATGGGATAATGGCATATACCAAAGGACACAGCTTGCACAAGCTTTTATGTTGTGAGAGATGTTTTCATATTCCAGGTATATACTCAAGAGTAGAATTACTGAACCATTTATATCTAGCTTGCAGAGGAACTGCCAGATTATTTCCACTGAAGATGTGTGAAAGTCAGTGTATCTGCATCCGTGCCAATATGCTACTACGTTTCTTGCTGCAGTCATCCTAGTGAGTCCAATGTGGTGTCATATTGTCATGCTTATCTCCTACAGTGCAGGGTGACTGGGGATGATCCCAGGGCCTTGCACAATACTAAGCAGATGCTCTACCACTCTACTTCTCCTGCCCTTGAATTGCATGTCTCTGATGGCTAAAGATAATGTACATCTATCCACGGACTTGGAGAAAATTTCTGTTGTCTTTCCTAGGCAAAATGCCCTTTTTTTGCCCATTTCTAAGTTATTTCTCTTTTTAGTACTGAATTGTGGCTTTTTTTTTTTTTTTTTTTTTTTTTGAGACAGGGTCTCCCTATAGCCACAGCTGAACTGGAACTCACTATGTAGACCAGGCTGGCCTCACAGAGATTCACCAGCCTCTGCCTCCCAAGAGCTGGGATTAAAGGAGTCCTTTGAAGCACGAATTTTTAATATTTAGGAAGTGCAATTTCTTTTTCTTCCAAACTGAGACTTAGAGACGTACCACCACAGCTATATTATTCATTTCACATACAGGAGAGCAGGAAGAGAGAGAGAGAGGGAGGGAGAGAGAGAGAGAAAGAAAGAGAGAGGCAAAGGGGAGCAAGGAGAGGAGGGAGAGGAGAGAAAGAGGAGAGAGGGGGAGGGGGAGGGAGAGAGAGAGACAGCTATGATGGCATGCTTATAATCCCAGCACACAGGAGGCAAAGGCAGGAGTAACAGGAGTTCAAGGCTAACTGTAGCTAAACAGCAAGACCTGCCTCCCCAAAACCCCAAATTTAAATTGAATAAATTTAAAGAAAAAAAAAACACAAAAAAACAAAAAACCTCTAGTTAGAGTGAATCCTTATTGAAATGGGTAAGTGTGCTGGATAGCTTTAGTGTCAACTTGACACACCTGAGTTGAGGGAGCCTCAATTGGAGAACTTCCTCTATTGGACTGGCCTGTGGCCATGTCTGAAGGGCATCTCCTTGATGAGTGATGTGGGAGGGCCCAGCCCACTGTGGGTCGTGCCACCCCTAAGCAGGTGGGCCTATGTTGCATA